ATATATATTAGAATTAATCTGCAAAAGAAAGAAAGAGGTGCAATTAATTTTTGAATAGACCTATTTGACACTAGCAACAAAACAAGGTTTTTAAAGTACAATCGTTGGGGGTTGAGGGACGATGGGTCACATATCAAATCAGTGAGTAGGGGTATACAACTGACCAATAAACTGAAATGCAGCACATGCTTATTTAAGAGAGAGTCAGAGGGGTGTTTCCCTTCTTATTTATATGTACAATTGTATATTGCCTTGGATTTAAAGTAGAACACTGGTGTAGGTTTCTGTGTATTGAGAATTTGTTTGAACTACAAATTAAAGTTCTATACTGGGTGTTACAGACTTGTAACAGCATACTAAGTGTTAAGACTAGTGCAAAAATATTTATTTCTGAAAAATAAAGACTAATGCTACATACGCACACAAACAACTGTAGAAACATTCTCTTCCAATAAGGGTCAGCATTGGCACATCTTTGGGTCTCTATCAAATTATTTTATCATGCTCCACTTTGTACACAAGTCCAATACACTATTAATTTTATATCACTCTTTTGGGTTAAAACCAAAAATTCATGTGCTTCTCTAAGAACATTTTCTTTTTTATTCTTTTTTAAGATTTGTTTTATGTATGTATGCATACATGAGCTGGAGTGCTAGTCAGAGGTGCTGGGGTGGGAGGTAACTGAGAGGATTCACCAGAGACAGAGTGGGGAGCAGAACAGGCCGATCAACAGAAATATACTTTTGAGGAGAGCAGTGGGCAAGACAGGAGAAGTGGGTTAGCTCCCTGGCTGGGGAGCAAATCAGTGCTGACATAGCTTCATAGTGCTGAGACTTAACCCCCTGCACCACCAGGGAGGCCCCTGTTGAGAACATTTTCACTAATTGTTGATGGCTAATGAGAAAAACTGATAGTCAGAAAGTGTGTATTCCTTACTCAGACCTTACACACACTTGGGCCCCCAATGCATGCTACTACTGCCATGAAGAATTTGATATCGCGAAGTCCACAGCATGACTCTAAAGTATATTAAAATGGAATTCCAGTGTAGCAAGAAGCAGATGCAAGAAACCATGACTTTCTTCTCTGCTTGACCTCCTACTATGTGCAATGAAGTAGTTAACAAAGAAGAGTTCAAAGGAGGCCCACAGAAGAGATAGGGATTTGTCGATTTTAAGAGTTGAAGGAGATCCAGAAATGATACTCACATCATCTGATCATCTGATTCTTCTGGAATCCAGATTACAACCATATTTCTAACATCCTGGGGACAAGGAATTTGTGTCCTATTCAAATTCAGCACTGGAAGCTCAAAGAAAGATAGAAAGTCCAGGTAAGCCTTGAAGCCCCTGAGAGCATTCAATACCAGACTAAAAGAACTGATTACCATCTTAGCCAAAAGTATTTGGAGTCTCAAAGATGACAAAAGAAGACATTTTCTAGCCCTAAAACATCTCAGAATGCCTCCCCTCACAAAACAAACAAACAAAAAACCCACCTATCAGTAAAGGAAGTCTGCAAGACAAAACTGTGTAAATGAATAATCTCCCCTGCCTCCCTGAGATAGCATGAGCCTGGCAACTCCCAACCCCACCCCATATGAGTATGCCTTCAGGGTTACCTAGGGAACCACTACTCATTCCATCTACCCCACTCCAAAGAGTTAAATAGCCTTCAGATAATAAAATAATATAGCTTGGGAGATAATACATAATTTGGGAGGAGATTAATAGAGACTAAAGCAAGATTCCTATTCTTACTTCTTGCCTAAAATTATAGGTATCAATCAAAACGTTAGTATTAGCTCTTTTCACATTTAGCTATTTAGGAAACGTTTAATGATTATAAGGAAACCTTATAATCTAGTCCATATCCATGGCAAGATACAGGGATTAAAAAAAAGCCTACTGAAAATGAGGTTGTCCCCACAAAAAAAAAAAAAAAAAAAAGCTGGTTTGCTTCGAGCTGTAGGGGGCGCTGAACCAATGTGGCCTTG